GCAGGACCAACTCTTTCAATTTTTCTTTTAGTTTTGATTGGGGAATACTTTTGTTAAAAGTTAAAAAGTCAAATGTTTTAATACTATTGCAAAATAAAAGCGTCTTAGATTGTATGTACTCTAACAGGTCTTTGAAAATTTTTTAGTAGCTATATCTGAATCACGCCGCCTCTAGAAAAGGTAGTTTCACAATAACTTTGAAGCCTGGCATTGATTGCTGTTAAAACTGACGTTGATAATTTAGAAAGATGTTTAATGGAAGACTTAGAAGACCCAGTAATATAGCCTTGTTTGTAAGGACACTAATGTAATTTAGGTATCCAATACAGTGAAGGAAGATCCAGTTCTTCATCTTTGGTTGAAATTCCATACTTATGATTATCCAGGATTTCCTCCTTGGTAAGTGTCGTGGGTGTATTTGTTTAGTTTCCAAGTGAATTGTCAATTTATGTAATTCATTTATCAAGCAGTTTATGTAATGTGATTTACACACAAAACGATGTTATCTTGGGCTTTATCTGCGGGGACAATAACATATTTGTCATGGAGTTAGGACAGGTGCTTTGCAACGTTTGGGTCTTTAATGATTGATGTAGCATGTGTATTTATGGATCCATTCCGATTTGTATCAACGACCTCACAGACTTAATCCATTCGGAAAGAGTATCTACGTCTTCCTTCTCGCGTTTAACCGATTGCCTGGCATAACCCTTGACTGAATCCATCAGTATTTTTCTGTTGTGTTTGCGAATGAGGCTCACAGTATTTCGGGCCTTTGGATAACACATTTCGCAGTTAAGTGTTATTGGCAATGTTTAGGGCACAAGTAATAACGTGACAAGTCGGATTATATATGAATAGTGCAGTCAGAAGGTTTAGACTAGAAGTCGTCAATATTGAGATCCTGCAACATGTGTTTGTAATTGAAAAGTTTAGGTGTAATTAGTTTGGTAAAGGTATAAGAAATAAAAGGTACAGACTGATATTTAAATAGGGAGGTATTTTCCAATGAACTGATTTATGAATAATGATATTGCCCAACATTGATGACATCGAGACTTTTGTTGGCAAAGGAACGTTTTAGAAAGGATCTTTTCTCCTTTTCATCTTTTCCAATGCGAACTCGTTCTAACGGCTTTTGTATAAATGACAGAGGGTCATTAATAGAGACACCATGGACAGTAGCAGGTGATGTATAATGAAAACGACCATGGCTGCGTCTTTGTCGAGGAGTAGAGTTGAAAATGTTCATCACTTTCACCGGGATACAGGGTGGACTAGATAAAATACCCATACCATCAATTTTGTAATTGCAACTTCATGGGGTCGCAGTCCCTAATTCTCAAATCGAGTAGACTTCCTTTTGTCTACATAGCGGTGTTGTAAGATTAGTATTGTTAGTCCTGTGTGATATTTATTCGATGATGCGAACTTGCATAGAAAGAATTGAATGACCAGGCTTGTTAAAATGCTGATAAACAATGTCGCTTGCATTGTTGTTGATGTCTGATCTATGGCCGCTATTATATTTATGAAGCCTTCCTTTCGTTTCACCGACATAAACCAATCCATAATGGTTACATTCTAATCCGTAGACGATATTTGTTAATCTACAATTCAGATCATAGTAGCTTCTGGTAAAGTAAGATTGTTTAGTTAAATTGAGCATCTGTTACAGGTTAAAACTCTGAAAAGACATTCCTACTGAATTTGGTTGGTTTTGTTGAACATAGCTGAAGATTCTTAACCAGATACATAGGTGATACTCTTGAGCACATACAACATTCGTTGGTTTAATTTAATCAATTTGACCTTGATATTGTTTGCATATATGTAAACCTCAGATCTGTGTACGGCCTCAAATCTGTGTCCGTTTCTCAAATCTGTACCCCATCGTGACGTCAATCGCTAATCTATGTCCGTTAAAAAAGATACGGCCTCAAATCTGTGTCCTTTTTTCAAATTTGTCTTCAATCGTGACGTCAATTGCAAATCTATGTCCGTTAAAAAGATACGGCCTCAAAACTGTGTCCTTTTCTTAAATCTTTTTCCAGGTTGTTTCGATATGCTCAAATTTATGCCCGTCTTATAAGTACGGCCTTATAGGATTTTTGTTTTATAAAGTCATTTCCCATAATTCAATGTTAAGTTGGGATGTGTTCTCCATGTGTGCTTAAAAATTCTACAAGCATGTGTAATTATTGTATGATTTACATTTTATTATAAAACTACAACATTTTCAAATTGTTTGCTTTTCTTGATCCTGTGTTTAAAGGGGCACTAGCTACGAGATATATAAAAAATATAAAATATGTTTTATTTTTGTTCAATCATTAATGAAAGTGAAATAGTGAAATAATATATCGCTTCTAGCAGCCAGTATGGTTCAATTTTGTCAAAAAAAAATAAGCTAAGAAACATTGATTATGAAGTATTCACTTCCAAGTGAATAATTCGACCTCATTGAATCCGTATTCATGTGAACTTCAATTTAACCCCTTTGCTAGAAAGGATAACTCATGAATCATGCTTGCTGAGTTATTTAATGGAAAAGAATGTCAACATTGAAAGTGAAACAAAGGTAAATCATTTGATTGACTGATTCGATCCACAAAAAAATCATTCTTATGCAGGTAAAAACTATGATTAATATATATCTTTCATCTATAATATGAAATTAAACAGACCTAGAAAAATCCAATTGCACGAATCCGGTTTTTATTTATATCTATATTTATGTTTATATTGCTTATATGACCATCGGAGGTATTCGGAGGTCAACTCGATAGTTAATTAGATTGCGTCTAGACTAACATACACACAAAACGAAGCTACATATTATCGAGCCCATGCCCTGTAAATTGATTATTTTTGACTTTTTATGATTTGGATAAATGTTTTACATTGTTTTAAATCAAATATGAGAATTTGAGTCAAATCGGTGAACATGAATTTGACAGCTAGTGCCCCTTTAATTGTTCTGTAGTAATTATCGTTACTTTACTTTACTTATTACGTCTTGATAACAAATACGAAATATAAGTTAATAAACAACCTGAGACAAAATGACATCTGTATACAAGCAAAAAAAGATAATGTACAGCCCTCAACAATGAATTAAACATGTTAAACCTATTCTGTATCGTAAGATATAAACATATACTCCTATTTACAAAGGTTTTGTTCAATGTTTTAATGTATAGGTACCACATAAATATGTTTAGGGTATAATTTATTGTGTTTATTGTGTCTTGTTATGTCTTACGTCACCACATTTCGATAAAGGACATTGATTTGAGACAAAAATGGCCATAGATTTGATTTAATAAAGGACATAGATTTGAGACAATAAAAGACATAGATTTCAGACAATAAAGGACATGAATTTGGAACGTCTATGACGCAATATTAAAAAGGACATAGATTTGCGCAAAGGACATAGATTTGAGGCTGGACATAGATTTGAGGCTAACATATATAAGTAGACAAATGTTCTAACGGGAAGTGTTCAAATACTAGATAAAACTTCGTACTTTATTTGGTCTTTTACCTTTTCTGATTTCAGCATCACTGATGAGTTTTTAGAAGACGAAACGTGCGTCTTGGCATACAAACTTAGAAGCCTGGTATTTTTTATTAGTTTTGTTGACACCAAGATAAAATCAGGATATGTCCCAGTAAATATCCAGTATCAAAGATCAAATCAAAAATCAAATTTGTGATTTTAAACAAAGAACCTAGTTTTCACTTTAATATTGACACTGGGAATAAAATGTGGAAAACTTATTGTACATACATGTATCATAAATCAATTCGTGTTGCAATCTAGGCAAAATAAACTTTTCTCAAAATTTTAGATTTTTTTTAACAAAAAATACGTTTTTACTGCATATTTGTTACTTGAAATCAATTTTAAATACATATTATATATTAATTATCATTGTAATCCTTGCACAGAAAGAAGCTTCTCAAAATTTATGATTGTTAAACAAAAAACAAAATAATGGGCTAACTATCACAAAAATATGATATACACAACTACATATAATCCAAAATAACTATGCAAAATTTCATCGGCTTCTTATCTATGCTTTGCGTTTACAAAAACTATTTCTAAAATGTGTGATTTTTAAACAAATACTACGCCTTTTCTCGAATTAAACGACCAATGTTTACCAAAAAGTAATATGCACATGAACATATGATACGCAACAACTGTGCAAAATTTCTAATATTTTAAAGTATAGGTAGTGGTTTTCTTCTTTTATCGAGTTTTTACAGAAATTTTTGACAGACAAACGGACAGACAGAGCTCCTGCATCCCTGATGCGGACCCAAGTTACGAGAGACTATATAGAGGAATAAAACCACTAATTAATGGTCCCATTGCTTTCTATGTTAAATTCCTTAATTTCAAGCTTTCACAGCTCTTTCGTTTTAAGTTCAAATAAAGTGACACTCATTCCATGTCAAAACAATACTTTCTGGTTACCCTTGCTGGAAAAATCATCATACCTTTAATTGCATATAAGACCGCACTGGTTCCCGGAAGTTCGGAAGTACAAAAACAGGTACTTCAGATCTGAGAATCAGGCAATAAATGCCCTCCTGTTTCAATTTCATAAAACTTTTTTATTATTTGATATAATCATTCCACAAAGGTTCTACAATGGTCCACAGTCATTCAGCTTTCATTTGATACCAAAATTACCCAGATATTTTACAAATTTTAAAAGTTACAGCTATGCGTAGGAACTATTTTGTTTGAAATATGTTCTACTTTCTTGTATGTTCTTTCAGACCGGGCCCGAATTAGTGGTTCTATACCTATAACAGCACTTTTGCTCAAATAACAGGATTTCAATGCATCAGTCATGTTCCACAATCATTTCTGAGTATGTTTTTAAAATTTCACTTGTTTATATTAGACGGTTACTGAAAAAAATTGAAAAAACTAAGTCCCCTATTTCTTCTGATTCTCATTACAAACGTCTTTAAAATTGGGTAGTTCACCAGACACATTGATCATCAAAATTGAATGTCTAAAAAGGTTTAAAGTGTAATTTTTTCTCATTATTAGCTCACCGTATGCCTTACCTCATCAAACTAGCCAATAAAATTCTAAAAATATATCATTTAAATTTAAATTAAATTGATTTTAATTTGAAATTTTTGTTAAAAAATGTTAAAGTTCCAGATCTTATGCCAATTTTATTGCCAATCAACTATTTTTGTTTAAATAAAAAGTTGTTAAATGGAAAGAATAATTTATCTTGAGATTAAACTACCATATGTCACTTTAAATCCAATTAATAATCAGCTCTCAGGATGTATTTGCCTCAGCAGGTATAAATTCTAAACCATGTATCAGAACAGAGGTAGGGGTCTAATTTAAGGCTATAATTGTTAAAAAATAAAATATTGTACATATTCTAATGGTTTTTATTGGAGAGTAATAGTTTGACTACAATTTGACAAGCAGAAGAAGTCAGTTCAAGCAGTTTTAAGGGGAATAATGACTCGCAAAAGAAGTAAGTTGTCAAAAATTCATGGTTTCAAAAAGGGTTATGTCCCTTGGAATAAAGGTAAAAAAATTGAATTTATCAAAATATCTAAGAAAAATCAGTTTTGTCGGCATTCTCAAAGTGTCTTTGACCGCAGAGTAAGACAAAGTTCAAATGGTATATTGACAATTGAAAATGTTGATGGAACTCCTGTCGAACAGGTCATCCTTCGGCCAAAGCCCCAGAATCTTGATGTAGTTGACAAGTACCTTCAGGCTGCTAATAACTCTTCTGATGCTTGTCCCAATAAATTGTACACTCCTAAACATGTAGAATCACTTTTCAATTCTGAAATTAGAAACCATATACTTTATAACTCAGATTGTGAAGGTGACTTAAAATTTGATGTAGAAAATGAAAAACAGTGGGGTTGCGTTTGGCGTGAAAGGCTAAAATGCCAAAAATGTGATTTTGTTAGCAAATATTACAGATTGTATGATGTTGTTGAAACAAACAAAAGAGGTCCAAAGTCAGCAAAGCTGAATATTCAGATTCAGTGTGGTCTGATAACTTCCCCGATCTCAAATAAAAACTTTAGAGACATTCTTATGATTTCTAATATGGTTCCACCTTCCTCATCTGGCATGCAAAAGACTGCAAACAAAGTTGCAAAACAGGTAGAGGAATTGAATAAAGCAAGTATGCAAGACATAAGGAGAAATTTGGTTGAGGAAAATAAATTATGTGGTCTATCTAATGAAAAACTTGTAAGAGTTGAATCGGACTGTCGATATAACAACCCTCTCATAAATAGCGGCACTACACCGTTTCAAGCTGGTACTCAGGTTGTGTGCACAATGTCGGAAAATAATACTTCGACCAAACAAATTGTGTCACTATTTACGGGTAATAAACTCTGTAGTGTTGCTACTAGGTTGAGAGGGAAGGGTATTGAAATTATATGTCCAAATCATGGAGGTGTGTGCACAGCAAACATAGCTGAAGATGCCTCCATTGGTAATGAGGCAGTATACAGTAGTTCTTGTGCAACCGAGATCAGTGATTACTTGAAAATCTCCCATATAACAACTGATGGTGATAGTAAATCATATCAAGGTGTCAAACAAGTTCACGGTATCAATGTTGAAGCACTTCGTGATGTTCGACATTTATCAGCAACTATGAAACGGGCTATTACAAGGTGCACATTTAGTCCAGATCTTTTTTCTGGTGCAAAGAAGGCCAATCTCAAGAATAGATTTGCACTTGATATTAAAGCAAGGTGTGTTGCAGAATTAAATCAAAGCTTTACTGTGCATCAGGGTGAACTGTATAAAGTTAAGCAGCACATGCCTGAAGTAATTAAAACTATAATAATGTGCTACAAAGGTTATTGTGGATCCTCTTGTAAGGTTAACTCCTATGTGTGTGCTGGTTTGCCTTCAAATCATTGGATAAAGAATTTTATTCCAAACGGTAGCACATGTAGAATGACATGTGATGATGAAGTCAAAGTTGAAAACTGTATAAGAATTTTACTCGGTACCAATAGTTTAAATATTGTACGGTTTCTTACCTCGACACAAAAAAGTGAAGCATTCAATCGTGCACTAAGTCGTTGCAATCCGAAGAATGTGACTTTTTCCAGAAATTTTCCAGGACGTGCACATGCTGCAGTTCACATGAGAAATCATAGATTTGCAAATTCTCTTCTCCTGCTCACTGAAGAGCTTGGTGTTAAAATCACAGCACCAAAAGTACTCATGAATCTGAAACAGAGAGATAGGCATGAATTATACATGTACAAATATCGACGCAGTCATGTTGCAAAGTTGAAACGTGCAATCAGTCGAAACAGAAAGTATCGTTTGCATGCTTCGATACATTATTCGCAGCCTGTATTTTATCGCAAAGGCATGGCTGATCCAAATTATGATAAAAATTGTATGAAAAGAATGTGTGTTACCCATGACAAGTCATATCCAAAGCAACAACCCAGAAAGCATTAATTTTCAGCATGCCCTGTTTGATTGTATAAAATTACTTGTAAATATTGAATATTCTGTATATGGATTGTTAATTTTACTTTTATTTCTACCTTTACAGATTTTATAACATGCAGTCTTTGTACGGTTCGTGCTTTTTACAGCGCAGTGGATAAATTCCACTGCAAACTTGTCGGTCCATATTCACATGATGTGGTTCATAAGATAGGTGCCCAGGGTTCACACAATGGGGTTGGTGACATAAATGTGACACATCCATTAAATTTTCTGACAGTTCAAAATTGTTATTGAAGATCATGTATGCAAATCTATGGCTAAGGACAGTTTTTTTCTTCTCTTCCCATGGCATTTTTACAGACAGGGTTGAATATTTTTGCCCCTTCCCTCCCAGATCACAGGTCCAACAGTTGTGTGGACCATGCACTGTAATACTATTGAAAATTCTCTCTTTTTGCATGGTTTTCCACTGCTCAATATTCATTTTTGATAAATCATTCAAAAATATTCAGAAAAATATTCAAATTTTTTACCTCAATGTCAAGGGTGCACGTGCAGATTCCTGTAATAGGAATAAAACCACTAATTAATGGTCCCATTGCTTTCTATGTTAAATTCCTTAATTTCAAGCTTTCACAGCTCTTTCGTTTTAAGTTCAAATAAAGTGACACTCATTCCATGTCAAAACAATACTTTCTGGTTACCCTTGCTGGAAAAATCATCATACCTTTAATTGCATATAAGACCGCACTGGTTCCCGGAAGTTCGGAAGTACAAAAACAGGTACTTCAGATCTGAGAATCAGGCAATAAATGCCCTCCTGTTTCAATTTCATAAAACTTTTTTATTATTTGATATAATCATTCCACAAAGGTTCTACAATGGTCCACAGTCATTCAGCTTTCATTTGATACCAAAATTACCCAGATATTTTACAAATTTTAAAAGTTACAGCTATGCGTAGGAACTATTTTGTTTGAAATATGTTCTACTTTCTTGTATGTTCTTTCAGACCGGGCCCGAATTAGTGGTTCTATACCTATAACAGCACTTTTGCTCAAATAACAGGATTTCAATGCATCAGTCATGTTCCACAATCATTTCTGAGTATGTTTTTAAAATTTCACTTGTTTATATTAGACGGTTACTGAAAAAAATTGAAAAAACTAAGTCCCCTATTTCTTCTGATTCTCATTACAAACGTCTTTAAAATTGGGTAGTTCACCAGACACATTGATCATCAAAATTGAATGTCTAAAAAGGTTTAAAGTGTAATTTTTTCTCATTATTAGCTCACCGTATGCCTTACCTCATCAAACTAGCCAATAAAATTCTAAAAATATATCATTTAAATTTAAATTAAATTGATTTTAATTTGAAATTTTTGTTAAAAAATGTTAAAGTTCCAGATCTTATGCCAATTTTATTGCCAATCAACTATTTTTGTTTAAATAAAAAGTTGTTAAATGGAAAGAATAATTTATCTTGAGATTAAACTACCATATGTCACTTTAAATCCAATTAATAATCAGCTCTCAGGATGTATTTGCCTCAGCAGGTATAAATTCTAAACCATGTATCAGAACAGAGGTAGGGGTCTAATTTAAGGCTATAATTGTTAAAAAATAAAATATTGTACATATTCTAATGGTTTTTATTGGAGAGTAATAGTTTGACTACAATTTGACAAGCAGAAGAAGTCAGTTCAAGCAGTTTTAAGGGGAATAATGACTCGCAAAAGAAGTAAGTTGTCAAAAATTCATGGTTTCAAAAAGGGTTATGTCCCTTGGAATAAAGGTAAAAAAATTGAATTTATCAAAATATCTAAGAAAAATCAGTTTTGTCGGCATTCTCAAAGTGTCTTTGACCGCAGAGTAAGACAAAGTTCAAATGGTATATTGACAATTGAAAATGTTGATGGAACTCCTGTCGAACAGGTCATCCTTCGGCCAAAGCCCCAGAATCTTGATGTAGTTGACAAGTACCTTCAGGCTGCTAATAACTCTTCTGATGCTTGTCCCAATAAATTGTACACTCCTAAACATGTAGAATCACTTTTCAATTCTGAAATTAGAAACCATATACTTTATAACTCAGATTGTGAAGGTGACTTAAAATTTGATGTAGAAAATGAAAAACAGTGGGGTTGCGTTTGGCGTGAAAGGCTAAAATGCCAAAAATGTGATTTTGTTAGCAAATATTACAGATTGTATGATGTTGTTGAAACAAACAAAAGAGGTCCAAAGTCAGCAAAGCTGAATATTCAGATTCAGTGTGGTCTGATAACTTCCCCGATCTCAAATAAAAACTTTAGAGACATTCTTATGATTTCTAATATGGTTCCACCTTCCTCATCTGGCATGCAAAAGACTGCAAACAAAGTTGCAAAACAGGTAGAGGAATTGAATAAAGCAAGTATGCAAGACATAAGGAGAAATTTGGTTGAGGAAAATAAATTATGTGGTCTATCTAATGAAAAACTTGTAAGAGTTGAATCGGACTGTCGATATAACAACCCTCTCATAAATAGCGGCACTACACCGTTTCAAGCTGGTACTCAGGTTGTGTGCACAATGTCGGAAAATAATACTTCGACCAAACAAATTGTGTCACTATTTACGGGTAATAAACTCTGTAGTGTTGCTACTAGGTTGAGAGGGAAGGGTATTGAAATTATATGTCCAAATCATGGAGGTGTGTGCACAGCAAACATAGCTGAAGATGCCTCCATTGGTAATGAGGCAGTATACAGTAGTTCTTGTGCAACCGAGATCAGTGATTACTTGAAAATCTCCCATATAACAACTGATGGTGATAGTAAATCATATCAAGGTGTCAAACAAGTTCACGGTATCAATGTTGAAGCACTTCGTGATGTTCGACATTTATCAGCAACTATGAAACGGGCTATTACAAGGTGCACATTTAGTCCAGATCTTTTTTCTGGTGCAAAGAAGGCCAATCTCAAGAATAGATTTGCACTTGATATTAAAGCAAGGTGTGTTGCAGAATTAAATCAAAGCTTTACTGTGCATCAGGGTGAACTGTATAAAGTTAAGCAGCACATGCCTGAAGTAATTAAAACTATAATAATGTGCTACAAAGGTTATTGTGGATCCTCTTGTAAGGTTAACTCCTATGTGTGTGCTGGTTTGCCTTCAAATCATTGGATAAAGAATTTTATTCCAAACGGTAGCACATGTAGAATGACATGTGATGATGAAGTCAAAGTTGAAAACTGTATAAGAATTTTACTCGGTACCAATAGTTTAAATATTGTACGGTTTCTTACCTCGACACAAAAAAGTGAAGCATTCAATCGTGCACTAAGTCGTTGCAATCCGAAGAATGTGACTTTTTCCAGAAATTTTCCAGGACGTGCACATGCTGCAGTTCACATGAGAAATCATAGATTTGCAAATTCTCTTCTCCTGCTCACTGAAGAGCTTGGTGTTAAAATCACAGCACCAAAAGTACTCATGAATCTGAAACAGAGAGATAGGCATGAATTATACATGTACAAATATCGACGCAGTCATGTTGCAAAGTTGAAACGTGCAATCAGTCGAAACAGAAAGTATCGTTTGCATGCTTCGATACATTATTCGCAGCCTGTATTTTATCGCAAAGGCATGGCTGATCCAAATTATGATAAAAATTGTATGAAAAGAATGTGTGTTACCCATGACAAGTCATATCCAAAGCAACAACCCAGAAAGCATTAATTTTCAGCATGCCCTGTTTGATTGTATAAAATTACTTGTAAATATTGAATATTCTGTATATGGATTGTTAATTTTACTTTTATTTCTACCTTTACAGATTTTATAACATGCAGTCTTTGTACGGTTCGTGCTTTTTACAGCGCAGTGGATAAATTCCACTGCAAACTTGTCGGTCCATATTCACATGATGTGGTTCATAAGATAGGTGCCCAGGGTTCACACAATGGGGTTGGTGACATAAATGTGACACATCCATTAAATTTTCTGACAGTTCAAAATTGTTATTGAAGATCATGTATGCAAATCTATGGCTAAGGACAGTTTTTTTCTTCTCTTCCCATGGCATTTTTACAGACAGGGTTGAATATTTTTGCCCCTTCCCTCCCAGATCACAGGTCCAACAGTTGTGTGGACCATGCACTGTAATACTATTGAAAATTCTCTCTTTTTGCATGGTTTTCCACTGCTCAATATTCATTTTTGATAAATCATTCAAAAATATTCAGAAAAATATTCAAATTTTTTACCTCAATGTCAAGGGTGCACGTGCAGATTCCTGTAATAGGAATAAAACCACTAATTAATGGTCCCATTGCTTTCTATGTTAAATTCCTTAATTTCAAGCTTTCACAGCTCTTTCGTTTTAAGTTCAAATAAAGTGACACTCATTCCATGTCAAAACAATACTTTCTGGTTACCCTTGCTGGAAAAATCATCATACCTTTAATTGCATATAAGACCGCACTGGTTCCCGGAAGTTCGGAAGTACAAAAACAGGTACTTCAGATCTGAGAATCAGGCAATAAATGCCCTCCTGTTTCAATTTCATAAAACTTTTTTATTATTTGATATAATCATTCCACAAAGGTTCTACAATGGTCCACAGTCATTCAGCTTTCATTTGATACCAAAATTACCCAGATATTTTACAAATTTTAAAAGTTACAGCTATGCGTAGGAACTATTTTGTTTGAAATATGTTCTACTTTCTTGTATGTTCTTTCAGACCGGGCCCGAATTAGTGGTTCTATACCTAGAGACAAATTTATATTAAAATCTAATAATACAAAACATGGTTACAATGTTTTTCTCTTTGTTAAAATGTTATGACATGTTGTGCAACAATATTACAAATGTTGTTATTATTAGATATATATATATATATATAAATGCCTAAGAATGCAACTTTAAAACGTTAATGAGTGTTATAAAAATAGTTGTTATTCAATGTTTTTTCTAAATTCACGCAGCATTTCGCATAAACAAATTAGCTTCACCAGTCGCGTGATTGTTGCTATTTTTAGACACTATATATATATATATATATATATCAGACAAGCTCAAACGTTTATCATTAAAATAAAGTCAATGAATATGGCATTCTTAAGTTCTTCATATATAATTGACATTTAAAAAAACATGTTTTTCATCTTCTAGAATATTTCGATTAAAACAAATATCAATGAAGTTCGCGTTCAGTAAGTAGATCTACACTTTTTAAATATTCAGGAACTGTGTGTGATCTTCCATCCGATCCTAAAATTTTTACATTGGACGGAAAAGGCAAATACTACTATGGCGAAGTTGCTATTTTTTCCTGTAGAGATGGATACAATGGGAGTCAAAAGTATTTAGAATGCGCTAGATCAGGCGACTGGAATGGAGCTTTTCCCACATGCGATGGTAAGTAATGAATCTTGTAAACAATTGAAAAAATAAAGAAATACATTAAAGAAATAGGTCTTTTTCAATTATCATTTCACTCATTCCATATTAAGCATATTTACCCGTATAATTAAGTAATGAAATCCAAATAATATTATGATATCAATACTGAATAAACACTGTTAGAATGATTTATAGATTCTGCACGTAACACATATTGATCTTTTATGATCTGTTTTACAAAGTATAGGAAAAATGTGTATGGTCCGTGTATTGGTTGAATCCCATAACCGATTATTGATTAAGTACCTAAATGTTTGCAGTGCAATGTTTTCGTTTATTTTCAAGTTACAAATTTGAAGTTTATGTATGATAAATTTGATGGCACGCTTAACTAAATATCACACTGTTAATTGCTGCGAATGCTTCGTCTGTTTATAACGGAATAAAAAGCAAGACCGCTAAACTGGTCAAATACGAGAGTGGCCAAATTTCACTGAACCTCCGATTTTAAATTATATTTAAAATGTCTAAAACGCCTGTTATTTCCTGTAAATGAATATGCTAATGTATGGACGTGAGTTGACAGCTTCTTACAAAAAGAGGATAACCATATAAGACATTTTGTGTTTCATATGATACATTTTTACTTTCTGTTAGTGTTAATTTTATTTATAATGAAGATACTTTTTGACTTAATATCTTACCTAGCATTAGATACTGTTGTTAAAAAAAAACTTCAGTAAAAATAAATCAATATTTAGAAAACGGATGAAAAATTTAAATCGTATGCATAGTTATATATTTGTGTTACACATATATTGCAGTTGGTGCTGTAAATATTTTCTGACAAGAGTTTTTTTTTCGACCTGGTTGAAACAATTACTTCATGTAGTTGTATTGTCTTGCGTTTCTCAAGTCAGGAATATGACAGTTGTTTTCCATCTGTTTGATGTGTTTGAGCTTTTGATTTTGCCAATTGTTAAAGGACTTTCCGTTTTGAATTTTCCTTGGTGTTCGGTTTTTTTGTTATTTTACTTTTTTGTAACCAGTTTGACGAGAAAGCACAAAAGAGAATATTAACCCCATCCCGTTGTATATAAACTGACGATTTCATTGAGTGAGATATTTTTACATAACACGTGTGCCCCTTTCTCATTCCTCTTATTTAGAAAAAAATATAGTTTTGGAAAAAAAATCTAGCTTATGCAATATCACACCCTATTATGGTGATCGGAAATGCGGATACATTCGGTAACACAGATCGACGAATGTTTTCGACATGACAGGTAGGTAAATCTATTCGCATGTTCTACTGAAAAAGATAAAGGTACTTCGATGGTAATATTTGTTTGTTTCACGAATTACGAATGAAATAAGCCACATGTCTGTCAAAGATGTAGTTTGGATTAACACTTATTTACAAAAATATCAAATAGTAAAGTGGTGTGCTCACGTGTTGCTTTTGTGTGTGTAAATGATGGCAAATTTCTTAACTTTAATTGGATCGGCACATTTAAATTTTATAAAACGTACATGAATGAGGATATGGTTGACCTTTTTCCCAAAGAAAATATGTTTATTTGTTAAATTTCAATTGATTTTGGTCAATCAACATGTTTTTCTTATGTTGTAAAGTAGACCAGACAACACTTACGTAGGCTTGGGAATTGTAAACACTTTACGAATTATTCGTCAAATATCTTTGTTTTCTCAAATAATGTGATTTTTTCTTCATATTAATCATGTTAATGTATTGAAAACTATAAATCATGGAGGCAAAATTCATAACGACAGTGGCGAGAAACATGTTTTGTGATTTCATGCTTCGGCTGTACTATCGCACTTTGATTCAAACGTTTAACATTCCCATATCTAATAAGGATGTGTATTCAATTTTATTATAAAGTTCAAAATTGTAAAATAATAGAACATTTGTGTAATATAAAGATAAGAAGGTATGGTATGATTGACAATGAGACAACTCTCCACCAGAAACCAAAAACACATAGAAGTTTAGCAACTACAGGTCACTGTAAGACCTTCAACAAAGTGCAAATCCCATACCGCATAGCAAGCTATAAAAGGCCACGAAATGACAAATGTAAAACAATTCAAACGAGAAATGAACGGCCTGATTTATGTACAAAACAATTAACGAAAAAAAAAAATGATATACAGCATCAAACGACAACCACTGAATTACAGGGTCCTGACTTGGTACAGGCACACACAGAATATTGAGGGGGGGGGGAGGTCGGAGGCTAAACATGTTTGCTAGCGCGCTAACCCTCCCCTATACTGGGACAGTGGTGTAACAGCACAACATAAGAACAAACTATAAATATCAACTGAAAAGAGTTTAACTTATCAGATCGATACAAAGCAACAACAACAAAAAAAACGAACAAATAACAAACAACTAACAAAAACACAAAAGACAAAAAGTACAGATCTGAGAGTGCTCGCAGTTATTGAAATCTAGTTCAAAACCAATAACATCTAATAAGAAAATCATGTATCTAAAACTAAAATATCAGTACACATCCAACATCAAATGGATTTAATGTAAAGACATCGTTAACAGTCAGAAAAAATCATGATAATGAGCAATGCAAAAATATAAGTATCGATAGATTGTAGGACCGTGAATGCACATTATTGTGTGTTTAACAAAAATATTATGTTAGGTTTTAATTTATTAATAACAATATTAATATTTTTTCCGATAAAATCAATGCATAGTTATTATACAGCTTTGCACCTCGTTGGAGTATATTCAATGGCAAAACCATGATCAAATTCTTATTTTTATATTGTCTAGGAAGACGCGTAGCTCAAACTGAAAGATGTTACCAATTCCGGCTTGGTTCCAAAATGATGCTAATTTTATTTGAATTATTGCGCTTTGTCCAGTCAATTTTAGACTGGCGAACAATTGCAACCCATACAAGATATTTATCAATATGTAGAATATATAACACATCAATCTTATTTTTAAACAGGGTTATCTCTAAACCTGACACCTTCAATTATTACTGGGTTATATTTGTGGAGTTGAACAGAGTTCAGTTTCTTCAGCCTTTACCATTTAATAAGTTAAATAAACATTTTCTCCTGTGATCAAAACAGTTAATACATCGGTTATGTTTGCATTTTGGATTATAATACAGTTGTACTTTTTAAAGAAAATATTTATTGCTTATTTATAAAAAAAAATAGTTCTATATCATATAAAGTCCTTCCAATTTCGATGAAAGAATACGTTTTAAGGGTTTCCTGCTGTTAACATATATATCCATGTCCAGTGCACAATGTTAAAACAATTTTGTCGACACGCGATGTATGTAATGAATTGACCATGTGTTTCAATATCGTTGACATTGTATTATCTCTCATATTAGAGTTGTTTTAGAGACGTATACGTATTGGAATATCCATATAAATACGATAAAGTTAACATGAGCATCTATTTTCTGACTCCGATAAGTCAAATAATGTATTGATTAAATCAAAATTTGGTATTTGTAATGTGCACTGGGTTTCTGCAGTATGTTTTATCCCAATACAAAACGTTGAAGTACAGAAAAGCACCTTTTTGAAATATAAATCATAACAAAATGTATCTTGAAGTTTCAGATTCGAGTGTACCTTACTACTTTCGAGTGCATGTTAACTACTAAAAAATAATCATAAACTTATGTATTTAAAAATATGTGCAATTTTACTAATGCATTATTACATTAGCTTAGAGATTGGGGAGAACAAGGTCATTTAGGTATATGCACAAGACAAATCTTGGCAAATGTTAAATTATCCTATTTGGTTATTTAGTTTATAACGATTTGATTTGCTCAAGGAGACGAATAGGATCGGACACAAGTTTAATCAACTTATGAAGTTTTTTCCTTTGCATAAAATAACAATTACAATACAAACGCGCACAGCTGAGTAGATCTACCTTGAAGGTATAAGTTAAAAGAGGCATTTGCAGACAGTCTGAAAAAACCAGTACGATACGATTTCCCAGTGTAGGGGTTCAAACCAGTCTCTAAATATAGATATTCAGTTTTAGTAAAGATTTGAAATCATGTTACAATCCTCGCAGTTGAAGTTTTTCTTATTTGTTTGAATTGCAAATACTACAATTTACCCACACTTCACAAGCATACTCAAAGATAGGACGAATATATACCAGATACATTTTTTCTAAGTTCTGTCTGTTCATCTCACATATAAATGTTCTTAAGACTGCTAATGTTTTATAATATTTTTTG